ATATTTCTGCTAAATAAAACAGTTTATAGGATGCAAAAATATTTTATATAAATGAAGAAATACATATCTGAGGAAGAGACTTAAGGGATTTCAAATACAATACCCATCTTAATATGCAGACAAGGTGGGGGGAGCTCTCATCTATTATTTATTTATTAACATTTGAAAAGGTTTAAAACAACTGGAAATTTACAAAGGATAAAATTAAAAGAGAGCAAAATAACATAAAAAACAGTATTTATCAAACAATCCCTACCCAAATGCCTGTTCAAAGACAGTCTTAAATGCCTTCCGAAAGGTACCAGGCATACTTCTAGGAACAGGTTGTTCTGGGAGCCATTACAGAGGAATGCCTTCAGACCCATGTCCTTCTAAATATTCATAAGGAAGTTGTAACAGCTTTTGTGTCCTTTTACTATGCAGAAGCTACTACTGTTGCTTCTTGGTCATCTAGACTACTTAATGCCACCAGACTTTGATGGCTACATGAGAGTCAAAATCAGATCAAAGGTAGAAGCATGCGCTTGGGGAATATAAGGAATTAGCAGAATACAGAAAAATACTGAAAGGAATATAACAGTACCACAAAAAACAAAAAATTCCTATTCCTGAAAACAGGAACAAAAAGTTCCCTGGAAGCATCCTAGTTGAGCCATTCCAAAATATAAAGTGTCCATAATGGCAATAAAGTGTAGAAAGTTTTGTTAACAGACAATGTCTCACCTTATTTTGGGGGTATGTAATTGTCCTGAAGAAAAAAGGTACCATAGTACCTTTCTCTTTTACATTAATTCATATTTAATTTTAGAAATTAGTTTTGTGGATCACCTAAATATTGCATCAAAACAAAGAAATAAAACTTAACTGGCTTAAAATCCTGTGTTTGCATCCAAATTCTCAACCACACAGTATAGCTAGCCTGAGGCTGAGACCCTGAACTCTTATTTAGAGCTGAAAAGTGTTCAACAGTTAATTGGCAAAGAAAGCTATAGCAGGAAAAAAATCTTCAATTTATCTAAAATTAATGTTGTGATAGGTCTGGCAAGAAGAACCTCAAGCTGATATAGGAAAGTTGTTGTCAAAGTACTGATGTCTTATATATGCTCATCTCTTTCAATTTATCACACTAATTTGTATGCCCATCCCTGTCATTCATGAGAATAACTGATAGAAATGGCAAAGTTATAGTGGCAGTATTCAAAGAAGAAACCATAAGAAAATTCAGAAGTCCTACTCTGGAATTAAATCTGATACATAGGTATTTGAATTTATAACTGTGCAAGCTTATAAGCCAAATCATTCACACCAGTTCGCTAAAACTTTTGGAGGAAGATACTGTATAAATAAACATAATAATCATAATCTTTATTATGATCACTAACCAACAAACTAAACAGCTGACTTCATAAAAAGAATAAAAGAACAAAGGAATAAAGCATGGGAAGCCATGATATAGGGGAAAAAAACACAAACGTTATCTAGAAAGAAAAGTAAAAATGCCTTAAAGTCTCAAATATTTCTAAGACATCAACAGGAGCGCATATAGCATTTATAGTATCATACAGTAAGTATGAATAGCAGGATATTAAAAGTAGAACCTGAGTGATAAAAACAAAATGACTAAATAAATTAATAAAAATATTTTAAGAGTAAGATACTAAAATTCTATCTAAAAGATGGGGCTCCTAATCCACTCTGACTACTCTACTTGGTAGCAACCTGGTCTAAAGAGTGAGAAAATTCTTCCCTTTGGGAAGATGATGATAAATGAGATATTTATCCTAGCTACTCACTCCAGGAGGAAAATATCCATTATGAGGCTCATGAGTACCTCCTTTTTTGACTAGAGCAGAAAAATTATATTACATAGATTCTTGCGGAGTCCTTGGATCTCTCTGAGCTTGGTTGTTTGCCTGCAGACATTTCACTACCCGACTAGGTGCTACTAATGATGATATTACCTAGGTGGAAAACGAAATGTCTGTAAGCTCAGAGAGCAGCAAGAACTCCACAGTTCAACCCTCAGCTGCATATATTCTCTACTATAGATCTTTGTTAATAGAGCTAGTGTCCATCCTGTCCTTTCAAACTTTTCCTCCTTATGACAAATTTAGCAAGTGTACACAAAGATACTTGATTTTTCAGAGAGCAGTTCTGCAGTATATATTGTTAACAAGATGTTCAAGCCACCATCTCTTGGGTACTTTTTTTCTTTAACTTTAAAGGCAAACTGTGTGCTTCATAACAGTCTGACCACTTCAAAAATAAAAAAATAAAAAGCAACCATACTTCCTGCCATTGCAAGAGGCAATGTGGGAGGGGGGGAGCCAATACAACCAATAGCTATGAAGCCATGCTGATCTACCCCTTTCGTGATCTTCAAGAGAATGTTAAACTCACAATCTTTAAAATCACAAATATTTAGGTAGAGAAGGCTTATCATATTAAACTGGGAAAAAGTGAAAAACAGTAGGCTTGCATAGGCAAAGTTGGGGAATGCACGATATAGCCATTTAAATTTGTTCTGCTTTTTCCTGCACATGTCTGCTGGCTTACACAAGGAAAAGGGGATTGAATTGTGACAAATGACTAAACCTGTGCTTCCCCTCTGCAAGTCTGTACAATATAAGAATGTGGAAACATTCTGTGCACAAACTATTCTGTGCATGGGACAACCAGTTTGAGATGCCCTATGTTCAGAACAAAAATTGAGAGTTTTGGGCAGAAGTGTTTGTACACTGATGGTAGGCAAAGATAGGTGCTGGGAAGATCAGCAGCGGGACCAGCACAAAGGCCGCATGGAGGAAGTAGGAAGAAATGGATGAAATGGGAATGGAAGAAGTCAGGAAAGCTGCTGGAAAGACTGACGACTGGGTTGGTGCATAGGTCTTGCAGAGAAGGATTAGAGAAAGAGGTACGGTAGCAATGGCTAAGAGAAAGTAGGAAAAGGAAGTTGGTGTCTGGTGGGCAGACCAGCGCAAAGGGAGAGATGGGTGAGATTGGGCCAGCTAAGAGGAATTAGGGAAAGGAAAATGTTCTTTCTGCATTAAAATATGGCTTTCACTCTCAAACATGAACTTAAGCATTCAGTGTGGATAGGAGGAATATTTAAAAGTTCAAAAATGGAAAAGTGTTTTTTTTTTCCTTCTCCTTCCTTAAAAACTAGACTTTATTGTAAGAACTGAGATCTTTTATTTTATTGCAGTATATCACTGAATATGTATGCATGAATCTTTCTGAAACTATTGCAGCAGAATAATTTGCTACAAAGATGGTTTCTTCTATGTGTGCACACTTTTTTTTTTTTTTTTTGCCCCTGAGAGAACATGCCATTCATTTTCAGCAATACATGACTGGAAAAAGAAGCAGGAATGATACTGCTTTCTTTTAATGTTAATTAGTGCTTCACACAGAGGACACTAAACAAACACATTATTAAAATCATGAAGAAACTACATGAGTTTCCCAGCATTTTCTAGTCCTAATACCCTCAGCTGTATAAGTAAAATGAAGGCAAGATAGTGAAAATCATGAGAAACCTAACATTTCTGCAGTATCTCCGCTTAGAGTCCATTTTTTAAATTCATAATACTATAGTTGGGTGCTTTATTCTTCTTTATCACAATCTTTTACAATCTACAGCTTTTACAAAGCTTTAGAATTTTCTCTTTTTTCTTAACACATCCCCTTAACCTTAAATATCTCTTCTATGAAATCTATAGTGATTTCTTGGGGCTTAGGCATCTACTCCTATGTCTAATTCATAAATTTGAGGATTTTTTTCTTTGAACTGATATTGTGAACTTTTTGTGACTCAGCTACTTAAGCATATTCAAACAGCGAGTATAATCTAGTTAATATAATCCACATTAATACTTGTGTTGTTAACCTATAAAATCTTCATCTATAATTATTAGGAGTATTCACATTGCACCTATTTTTTATGTTTACAGACAAAATCTAGCCAACAAACAGAAGATGCAGTATAAAACAACAACAACAACAACAAATCTTGCCATCAGACAAATCCATGAATTTTGGATGCAAATGCAATTACAACATCAGCAAAAATTATTATATAATCTTTCTTAAAGCCATCTCAAAAAAGAATTTCATCATCAAACGTTCTTTTTACCTCAGAACATCTTCCAGCTTCCGTATCTTCTTGTGTAACTCTACTCTCTCTTTATCAAAGTCACTCTGTGTTCCGTAAATCTAATTTTAAAAAAAAAGGTGGAGTGGAGAGAGTTAATTCTAGAAACCATGTGAAGAAAGCACTATGACATACCCACTATCATTCAGACTTTGGGACTATTCAGGTTAGATCTCTGTAACTACAATCTCTGCAGGGCTTGACTTCAGAGTTTGGAAACTTCACCTAATGAAGAATGCAATAGACTGAGTATTAGCAAGTGCAGATCAGTACTGCAGACACATCTATCAGAAATACTCTGACACATTCTACACTGAGCATGGGTCTGGACTAGATGGCCTCTAAAACCCCTTCCTACTGTAATCCTATGCTCTTTACCTATTATTCATTATTGCAATGTTTTATTATTGTGGATTAATTGTGAATTATTTTAAGTTCTGTTGCATTATATTTTATGATTCCCTTCGTTCAGTCAAAAACCATTCATAAGAACTGATTTTTAAGACATTTATTTGCACTGAAAATAAATTACATATCTTAAAAACTGTTTTGAACTGCTACTGAACTCATGCTAATAACATCTGAATAACCACATTGGTATAACTAAAATTTTAAAATGTAATATGCTTGCATTGCAAAGAACTGTGTATAGACTTGAGAACGTCTTTTTCTCCTTTCATAACAGCTGTTTTCCACACTACTTATTTAATTTCTACAGCCACCTATCTCACCCAAGTGACTATACTTACAAACCACTTCTGCAGCTGAACAGTTGCAGCACAAAACTATTATCAAAAAGCATAATTAATATTACTTTTGTATGCATATGTCACATCTTTGAACTGTGGCTATTGAAATTTAGACTGAGGATCTAACAAACTATAGCTGTTTCCAGAATCATGTTCACATTACCTCTAAAAATCAATGTTGAATTATAACAATCAGGAAAGAAGCTAAATGCTGTTCACACAGGAAGCTGCCTTAATAAAGTGTGACTGTTGTTCTAATCTAATCTAGTTATCTCTAATCTGACTGGCAGGGATTCTATAGTCTGAAACTTCTATTTGGGGAAAAAAGTTCTTAAAGAGTCCTCAAAGTTGCAGCCCTACTAAACCCTTGTCACCATACTGATTTCAGCTTTCAAAGGCCAAAAGATGATACTTTATGTAGTTCAACTTAAAAAAAAAAATTAATATGTCAATATTTCTGTTAAAGCATTAAACATTTGAATTCTAAATAACAAAGAAAACTATTTACAGTGATATTGGAGGTTCTGATAGTCTGATTTAGCAGGATTTACTTCCTCAGTATCCCTCTCCAATTCCAAAGAAAATAAATTCAAAGAAACAAATAAACATTTTATTTATAACACACCCCCTCTCTGGGTAATCTAACCACAATCAAAATTAACAAGTTAAAAACTAACAACATATTGAAAGAGGGAACACCATGGAATACAGTGAGGCTACTATAAATGAAAAGAACAGCCAGAGAGATCTGACTGAAACCAAGATAAAGCATTGCTAGTGATGCCCAAGAACTGTAGCCTTGTCAGTAATACCTGGTGATCAAGGATCTTAAATACTATCAAACATGATTCTTTAAAATCCAGAATATGAAGTTCATTTTTATCTAAACTTACATTGCCTAAACTTAAACATAGCCAAGTATGAATATATTTCTCAGGCAAAGTATCATTGTTCTGAAAATATTAATAGGTTCATTCTTGCTAAATGTTTATTTTTAGAGTTTCTAAGTTCACCAACTTTATATCCCTTTTCTACCCAATATTTCCATATTATGGCTTATAAAAGTAAACTTATCAGCTTCACATGATATCCTGTGTAGATGAAATACAATTTTTTCATGATTACCTTTTTTTCATGAATTCTCTCTAAATTAGCTTTTTCTTGCAGAAAAGTTTGCTCTTGTTCCTGAAAATAGTTGAGTCAATGAAAATTATGATTATTAATATTTTCAGCATAAACTAAAATATAATTCAAGAAATTATAACTACTGTATAGTTCTCAATGAATAGTGAGAAGGTCAGTTTCTCAGAGTAGGTAATCAGTTAGAACTGGTGATAAATTTGCCAAGGAAAGGGATGGGAAACTGAGCTGAGAATGTCCTCAGTTCTAGTCTCATATAAGAACTATGCACATAACCCTTTTGTTGAAAGCATGCAGAATCAATCTTAGCCCTTTGCCTTTCTCCTCAAGTACATTAGAGAGTTATCCTTTTCCATCTTTCCTCTGCTTTTCTTTTCCTGGGGCAGCTTCTACCACCATACCAGTCCTTGAACTTCTATTGCCAACATCTCCCCCTTCTGAAGTAATCAGGTCCTTTATTCAAAGCAAGGTTTCTCAACCTTGACCACTTTAAGATGTCCGGACTTCAACTCCCTGAATTCCCCAGCCAGCAATTCTGGGATAATTCTGGGAGCTGAAGTCCACACATCTTAAAATGGCCAAGGTTGAGAAACACTGCTTTAAAGGGTTCTGCTCCTCCCCTGACATAAGCATACATGCTAGCACAGTAAGGCATATAGGCAGGATGTGCAAAATGTGGTAGCAGTCTGAGAGAGCAGTGCAGGTCCGCCTCAGCTGACCTGTTATTGCTAGTAATTGGAAAGTTGTGGACTCCTACATTGTTGGATTTTAAATGTCACCCAATACAGCCAGTGTGAAGAATGCTGAGAGATGTAGGGCAAAAATTCTGAAAGGCTGTAAGTTCCCTACCCCTGCTATAAGGAATAAGAGAACAAACCAAGAATGCTTTCAATGAGGCACCAAAGCAACAGGTTTATGCTAATGCACTAATTTATACAAATGTAGGATAGACACTGATAAGCACACTTTTCAAATCATTTCAAGAAACAAGGAAATGAGAAAAAAATTCTTTAAAGGCTTTAGCCTGAAATAAGAACATATTCCATCATTTTTGCTCACAGTATTTTCAAGGCCTCCAGTAACTCTCACTTGAACATTCTCTCTCTCTTTCTATAAATTGCAGGAAAAAAACAGAAAGGGCTCATCATTCTCCTCAGTGAAAAATCAGGGCTCACCCTCAGTTGTTGCTGCCTTTGATGGTCTGATTCCAGTAACTGTTGTTTTAATTGAGACACACACTGCTCTAATTCTTCAATCACATCTGCTGCCTGTAAAGATTTAATGGAAAGGGTAATGTTGGTCTTGCATTCATTTTGGCAGAAATAGCTATACTTTTCAAAGTTACGTTTTAAAAAGTAAAAGGAATGAGATAATCTATTTGTCCAATCATCTCCAGAGGGCATGCTGAGAGTCCTTCCTTTCTGTGAGGTTTATGGTATTTGGACCAGGCTGCAGGCTTTCTCTGTACCAGCTAGTATATTATAGAACACATTTCCCTTGGAGGGCCAAATGTCAGCATATTTTCTCGTATTTCAGAAAACTGCTATAGGTAGTCCTCGGTCAGCAACAGTGCAAAGTTATGACGGCCCTGAACAAGTGGGATTTACAACAGATCCTCAGAGTTCCAGCTGTCACAGCGTTCCTGTGGTCATGTGATTGCTATCTGGGTGCTCAGAGCCAGGCTCACAATTACAATGTCACAGTGAGCTGTGGTCACGTGATCATGATTTCCAACATTCCCTTTCGGCTTCCCACAAGCAAAGTCAATGGGGAAGCCAGCAGGAAGTCAGAAGTAGCAATCACATGAAGTCCTCACTTGACCCGCATGGTCCTTGTTTAATGACAGCAACCAGGACTGCCAGAATTGCCATCACTAAGCAGCGCAGTCATGTGACATTGTGCTTTATGACCATATCACTTAGTGACAGAGTTCTCTGTTCCAACTGCCATTATAACCTGAGGACTACTTGTAAAATGTTTTTTATTTCATCAATCAGTCAACTCTACTTGATTGGCTGTGGCTGCTTATCTGTGAACTTATGTTTGTCTGTACCTAGGCATTGTTTATATAATTGGGAAGGGTGGGGGGTGCTGCTTTTGCTTTGTTGTTACTTTACTGTATGCTGCCTGCAGAGTTGTTTGATTGGTAGTCCCCAGTTTAAGAATGACTTCCGTTCCCAAGGTCTGTCCTTAAGTAGAATGTTTATGTATGCCAGAACAGTATTATTGTATAATGCTGTATAAGTAGTATTGCGTAATTAACTTGAACCATTGTATATTTAACTCAAATCATTGCGTATTTAACTTTGAATTTTGCTACAGTAGGTTCCATTCTTAACTATGGGTCCTCCTTAAACTGGGCATTCTTAATCCAGGAATTACCTGTAGTTATCAAATATAATAAACAGTTAAATAAAAGGCATGAAAGCTTTTAAATGCAAACTTTGTAATTTGATATAACCACTGACTGGATACACAATTTAGAGATGTTATCCATTCAAACCACCCGAAGTCCTTCTATGCTAACCTACTGGATGTGTGTGGGTGGGGAGAGAGGTGCTTCTAAGTGGGGTGAGTTAAGCACACCAGGAGTGTATGCCAAGTGTGTATACTTCTAGTAGGTCACCCAAAGAGCCCAGCTAAAGCAAACACGTTATCTGTATCAGCAATAGCAATACAGGAAGGTGCTGGAAATGGATGATCAATTTAGTGACAGTGGCAAAGATATCATCCCATACTGCACAGCAGAAGGCAATGATCAGCCACTTCTGTATTTTACTATGAAAACCAAATAGATAGACAAGATAAAGTGATTGAGTGCCAGATGATGGGCCCCTTGGGTCCAATGCAACTTAATATGCTATTGAAGAATGGCTGAGGATCTTTCAGAATACTAGCAATGCTTTTGATGTGGCTAGATTAAAGCTTTCCAGACACTTAGTTGATGTTGCCATGCAGGAAAAGAAAATCCAAAGCTACAAAGATAGCATTGCAGTGGGAACATGGAAAGTAAGAAGTATGAACATGAGAAAGTTCAACACAGTGAAATATGAAGTGATCTGAGTACACACTGACACCTTATAAGGCATCAGTGAATTGAAAAGGACTGGAACTAGACACTTTCAGTCAGAATATTATACTGTTTACTACTCAGGACACAAAAAACAAAGGAATGGGACTGTTTTCATAGTCAGAAAGGATATAGTAAAGACAATATGACATGGGTACAATACAGTCAAATACCAAATAATTTCAATCACATTTCACGGACAGCTATCTAATAAAATGGAAATTCATGTTTCAAATCAAATCAAATCCTTTGTTACAGTCAATGACCAGATCTAAATACAATTCAGTAATATTATTACAGGGGAAAAAGGGGAATGTGATAAAAGTAGCTGAGCAATTTTCACAAAACGGGAGAAAAGAGAGGAAAGCTAAAAACAGCAGGTAAGAACCGGAGTACCAGACCATATTTAAAGTATGTCAGGCAGCAGGAATTCTGAGAAATGCTTAACTGTTACATGTATCAGTGGCTATTATGAGTAGCTATAGTAATACCTGACAAATCAAAGTACAAGGCTTGTGTTTAAGCCTTAAAAACGTGCTTCCATATGATGAGAAGTTTCAGATGAGTAAAATCAGTCACATTTATGAAAGCATTTATGGGATTTAAGTTCCAGAAATTAATAATGAGAATTTTTTGCTTTATATATATAGTATCGTTGATAAGCACACCATCCACATTTATGACAGAATACACCTACCTTCACTGCAGAAAGAGCATGCTCCTTCTTCATCAAATTTAGGTCAAGATCATACTTGCTTCGTAACTGTTTAATGTTCTGTTCATATTCTTCCATTATGCGCCCTCTTTCTTTCTGAAGTGAGTTTCGCCTAAAAATATTTGATGACAAAGTTAGTGCAGACATGTCATGGAAGATCATTTTGAACACACTTAATATAATAATCTTATCAAAACTTGAACTGATTTTATAAAACTGTAACTGGTGAAGGCTACAATATTCCAATGTCAATAACTGCATATGACTCACTATGTGTAGTCAAACGTTATAGATTAGTCAAGTCAGTTGGAAATAATCACTTATCGCTGACAAATCTTATTTTAGAAGTAAAACAGTACCATTTTAAAAGTATACAAAAATATACTACGTATAACAATGTGTACCGTACACTCAGTTCAAATCTTGTTTATGCAACCATGATCTAGATGATATTACAGAACTGCTAGGGAAAGATTTCTCTGTACCAAAAATAAGTAATTTAAATTACATTACCATGGTATATTTGGTAGAGGTTTATTTCATTTCTTTGTGAAATAAAACTTTTCCAATTGATTATTTATGATGCTATAAGTCTCTCCAATTTTTCCGCAATAGACCCACACAGGAAACCTAGAAGTTGTAGCTTTCCCACTGTCATCACTGATTTCAAGATTAAGAAATAGTGGATCAGAATACCTGATTTTGTTCAGCAGTTACAATGTTTAATTCACATCGATTCATCATGTCAAAATGTAAACAACAGATGAGGTAACTATTTCACAGTAATAAACTATATATGCAAGTAAAGAAAGCCAGACCTTCACAAAAGTCAAAATGCAGATTTTATTATCACTTTTCAGATGGTACTAGTACTGTTAATTCTACTATACCTCCACAATTACTCAATACCAACACTTTATAAATTGTGGTAAAGAATATACTACACACCCATAAGTGAAAGGAAAAAAAATTAACTACCTTGCCTTGATTTCTTCAAGTTCCACACGTACAGCCTGGTAAGACTGATCCAGATTGTTTTTCTCTTGAGATAATTTCTGACGCTGCAAATTACTTGTTTCAGCTTCCACTGTCAACTGATGGACTCGGGCCTCTAGCTCTTTGACCATCTGGTTCTAAATAAAGTGAAGAACTATATTAGAGATACATTCATGCACGTATCAGGTGCTATTCAGTACATTATCTACAGATGACTCAGAAAATACTGAGACTAAGAGATCTCAAAACACGAAAGCAGTTTTTGTTGGTTAAGAAATATGATTAGCAAGTGCACAATTCCTATTTCAACTATCAAGCCAAGTGACATTTATGTTCAAACATATGCAACATCAAGAGAGCACCTTATATTCCAGATGCTGCACTTCATTAAGGATGGATCATATTCTAAGTCTATATAAATTCCAAATAACTTTTAATATATTCTTAAAACAAATACATTTGGCAGTTATTACATCAGCCTTATACATTTAAAAATGAATGACAGACTTCAAAATAATGAATATTCTTCCACTTAAACAGAGTTTTTCTCCTCAGTGCTCTGCATTAAAAAAATAGTAAAATGATATACAAAGTAAGAGATGAAGAAACTCAACCCTGAACTACAACTACAATACCTAGTAGAAATGGTTGGCTAACAGGGATCTGCTGAGCTTTGGATATGAATCTAAAAACTACTTTGGAGTGGGCATACATTTGGTACCTGTCAGTGGCACCTATCAGTGCCACTTCAAAGAAGCCGTTTTTTTCTGGACTCTCACAGCAGTTGTACAACCTCAGTTAAGATGATGCTGACAGGGTAAAATAGAGTGCACAAGATGCTTCAAAGTGGGTCTGGGTATCACATATTTGGGAGGGATCACATGGCTCCCATGCAAGACCAGGAAAAGATACAACTTCTTTAAGAATGTGCTAGCAAACACAGCATACTGTCTAACACCCATTTTGATATACATGTTTGACTTCAGATTTGAAGTACATCACATCTCTGTTTGCTAGCAATAGCAAGGCATTAATGCCAGGCCAGGCCAAGATCATAGGCAACCATTCCTGAATCTTCCTCTAAAAAGCATGTTCTCTAGCAGAATACGACCCAAATCAATTGCTGAAGTTAATGGCTTGAGATAAGAAGCCAAAAACTAAGATACAGCAGAGAGAAAGTACTTCATTGGCCAAGTAAGTATTAACATCCTTTTGGGAAATTACCACTTTGACATGATGGGAGGGCTCAAGGATTCTAGTGAATGATGATAATGGGAAACTTGAGCTTCTGGTATGATCATGCTTACTGGAAACATCAAAAGGGGAGAATTAAAGCTTAGACAAATTCAGATGTCTGTTTTTTCACCTGATTATACAAATACCTTTAAAAGTGTAGACCATAACAAACTGGGTAGCCTTTTAAAACATATGTGTAACAGATAACCTCATCTGCCTACACATAATAGAAAAACAATATGGTTCAAAACTGGAAAAGGAATGTGTATCTCTCACTTTATTTAACTTATTTGCAGACCATACCATGAGAAATGCTGGACTACAGAAAATAAATAGAAACCTCACAACACATGGACAGACATAAACATAGTTTCAACTGGGAAACTGTCAGCATCTTAGACCAAGCTAAATCCCAAAATGCAAGGGATTCCTGGAAGCTTGGTACAAGGTAGCCATCAACAGGCACATAAACAACACCTATACACTATTCAAAAGGGACAATAAAAAGAAAACAAAAGACCAGAACATCTCCTCATCAGCAATCATCACCCAGATAAGCAAAGATTAACACCAAGATTATCACCAGACATACAATCA